ATTATTATTATTATTATTATTATTATTATTATTATTATTATTATTATTATTATTATTGTATAGTTTCTTCCTGGCAATGCATTGAGCTTCTTTTCCGTACTTCATCTCAGCAAATCACTGAGATTGATTTTAATTATAAGAGTTTTTCGAACAAACAAAGTCATTTTATTATATTTCATGGTTGCACGCAGCATTTCTCAAGATGTTTGAAAGATGAACGTCTATTTCCAAAGGGAGCTAAAAAACCGGTGTTAGTGGACAAAAAGAGGCCAGACTGCATCAGCGATGAAGCTAGAGATGCCTGAAATAGCTTTTTACCCCTGGGAAGTAAGTCATAACGATCTTAAAGTCACACGAATGACATGCAAGAAAGCAAAGTATCCAGGAAATAGACATTTCTCTGGAAAGTACTGGTTTTGAGATCATGTCTTCTATCGATAGGGATTGTCTTCTGTCAGAAAAACCATTTTTTGGCGGATTTTTGAAATCTTACTACTGTAGAGACAATTAATGACAGCTGGTGATGGATAGTTCAAGAGGGATATCGTAAAACCAGTGACTTACGCAGAGTGTTCTGATGGTTAAGTCCTCGCTTAACAACATTTATTAAATATTAGTTGCTAATTTACTTACTGTTTCTAGTCTAAAGAGCGAATCTTAATTAATAGTAAGGCTTACTGGAAGTACTAAAAATCTAAACACAGAATATATGCGAAGAAATAATAGTTTATCTAAAACTAAGACGTTTCGGTCTATTAATTTATATATGCTTGAACTTAGCGCCACAGCTGGATCTCTTCAGTACAACAGCTGTGGCATAATTTATTATCATGCGGTAGATAAAAAAGTTCCAGTTTACTGAGATAACAGAGCAAAAAAGAAATTTTTGAGAAAGGTGGAAAGGGCATCAGTTAAAGGTTCCCACTTAACAGATCACATTTTGCCTTAAATCCTGAAAAAAAAAGTGAAAACATTGGCCGTTAGTGGTTAATTCATTTAAAAAAAAAATGCATGAGCGACCCACTTCCGAACAGCTTAGCATTCTTAAGCACAGTAAAGGAAATTGAACTGGTTCAATCTGTTTTCGAAATTTTTTAGCTCCCGCTGTAAAACCGTCTCTAAATTGCAGTTGCAGGCATATTTTATGCTCGGCGCAATAATTTTCCTCCTCGGGAATTCCACTGCTTCTCAGTGGCAAAAGAGAAAAAGGGCAGTGTGAAAGCGAATGTCACTCAGACTCTGACGTCAATTATCATCAAAAATTTATAAACTTCAAAAACGCATCATTATTAACTCATATGGGATCGCTTTGCTCGTATATACTGGTTGACTTGGGCAATTTTCTTTCTTCACTGTCTCTGTAGCAAATTGCCAAGACGGACAATCCAGGAGATCTCTTTTCCATGACAAACTTCTTTGTTTCTTTTTTTCGACAAAGAACACACTTGATATAACAATACTCTTTATTTTTCAGTTGTTATTTTAGTGATGAAAAAGATAGAATTTAAAAGAAAATTGAGAGTTTTTGATTGAAACCTGAGAAATTAGCACGTCAAAAGTCCTCAAGCCCCTTCTTACTCACTCTCTACAAAAGGCGGAAACATTCGCAGTACTCCAGTTGGCAGCGAATAGGAATAACTGGCCAGGCTGCCGATGACCATCTTTTTTGAGGTCAGTTTAAAGAAGCAGAAAATAGGTTTGACTGGCTGACATACGGAATAGCAGTTTACCGTCGAAACGAATGAATGAATCACGTAGGGATTGCGTGTCCCACTGACGGAGTGGAATCCATGATTTTTTCACCACTGACTGAATTTTGAGGGGAACAAAATTTTCTTCTAGGGTCGTAACGGGATGATTTTCTCAGGAGTGAAAAAGCATCCAGTTTTTGAAAGTTGACAAATTTTTTGACCACTTGTTTTTTAATAGTAAAAGACTTTGTTCACTGGCCTTTAAGTACCAGTAACTTCGTTTTCGGAGGGATCTTTGAATTGATAAGCTCTACAAAAAACAGAACGACTTTCAGGATCGCCAACGGTTTGACCATCAGGCAGTGTAGTATTGGACAAAACAACTGGCAAAGTTGACCACTTAAATAGTTTCAGAATCACATAATAAAATCAGCTAATGAAAGTGCCAAAGTATGATGTTGTAGATGAAATTTGGTTCTGTCAGAATTCAAGTCAGTTTTTTTGCGTGATTTTCTTCTAAACAAAAATTTCTTTGTTTTTTTTTTTTTTTGCGTCATATGCTAAAAGAAAGCGATTCTCGTACAAGGTAGTTATTGTTTGAACGCATCGTTTTGTTCATCTTCGAACGCTTTTTTTGTTTTTCCACAAAACTGCTCGAACTTTTCAGGATGAAAGCATCGAAGCTGCGAACAGCATACGACAGTGAGGTACCAGCACCGTGCGCCAACAGCAACGGATGTGAGAAGCGCGATGGTTATCACGATTACAGTTTACCTCGAGCAGCCAGCCGAGCTACCAGTGCACAGTACGACAAACCACGGACAGATAATTTCAGGATGGACACCGAAGGCACATCGCAGGGCACGGCCATCAAGAATAGCAACGAGACAGGAAATTCAAGAAATCGCTCAACAATCCGCAATTATGATGTGCCCAAAGATACACTGAATGACGAGGTGCTGAAAAGGTATCATTTCCTGAAAGTTTTTCTTAATTTCTTCTAAATTCCTGCATCTAAAAAAAAGAATTTCTTGGAAAGTGTTTGGCACCGTCTGCTGTTTTCTCGCCTTCCAAAAGAGCATTTTTTTTAGGCGGCAAATGAGACTTTTTGCTGCTTCTTTGCCTGTTTTTTAAACAGTTCTTACAGCTAAGGGATAAAACACAGACTGCGCTGCTTATCACCGCGTGCATCTGCTTATCGTTACATGCAGTGTTTTGTCACAACATCTCAGTCTTTTTATCTTGGCTATGAAATCAAAAATTTTTATTTTATTCCCCATTTGAGCTGTCTGAAAGAAAAAAAACTACGAAATATTGCAGTGGATCTCATAGAACGCCACCTCCTGATTCACCAACCAAACAGCCGCTGCTAAAGACCGATACATTGATGAATTCAGGATCTCATCGGAGTACACCTCGCTCACCGCCTCCCACTATTCTCCTCAGGTAAATTTCTTTGAAGCATATGTCATTTATTTGAAGAACTAAGAA